CCCCCCGCCCCTCATAGCTCTAAATCATCTGTGTGTCATTATTAAGGAAAATTCAGGCTGACTGTACTTTAAAAAGCAGTTACCTCAAGTGCAAAACAGTGCTTATTTATAGATGATAACATTGACAAAAAGGTTAGAAGGGTAAAAGAACTTTAAACCAAGTTTTGAGTCCATACCATCAGAAAAATATAGGTAGTAATAGAAACTCTTATAATTCTGAACGCTTTATAGTACCTTGTAGCTTATAAAGTTCTTTCACATGTATTATTTCGTTTGCATCTCGAAATGTTATAAAACCAGCATTATCATCATCTGATTTTACAAATGAGAAAAATGGGAGCTCAAAGAGGTTGCTTGGGAAGCCTGAGGCGGGGTGCTGGTAAGTGGTAGAACTGAAATTCAAGTCCAGACTTTCTAATCACTCTTTTTTTTTTTTTCCTTTCTGGTTATACTATTCTACAACAAAAAAATCTACATAAAATCTATAACAAAATCTAATCAAGTCATGGAGGTAGATCTTTAGTTTTTAATTTTCCATGTTGTAGAAGAAATTTTTTAGTTGATCACTGTTCACGATGGTGACCATTGTTCTCCATGAGGTAGCTGGTGTGGCCTTCATGGAAAGTTGTACATAGAGTTTAAGGAGGCAATGAGAGAGTCATTCTGTAGGACTCATTGAATACTTAGTGTGCTTTAGGGGCACCTCTGTGAACTAACATAGTTGGTGTGAATGAATTGGATGATCACAAATGTTATAAAATCCTGTGTCCCTTTAGAGAGCAAAAGCCTGACTTTTAAATGAAAAATCTATAAAATGAAAGGCTATCAATATGGTCTAAATTTGCCCTCTACTTTTTCCTCTCCTGGAGCTCTGGGGTGTGGATTTAGGTGATGGCATTGTGCATTATGTGTCTTTAGTGTCTTTCCCACAATCTGGCTTCCATACAGGATTGTTAAGAGGGATGCTGGGCCTGTGGGTGGAAAGTGGAAACATATACAGCTGTAACCCTTTCTTTTCCATAAAAATGTGAGGCAAGGTCTGCAAAATCAGAAGCAAGGCCAAAGCACTGGCCCATCTTGAACCTTCAGGGATTCTGCAGAACTTTGTGGTTTCGATAGATGTTTTCAAAGGGGGGATAATGTTGTAATTGGCCTGCTGCACGCTAAGACACGATTTTTAAGGGACATTTTCTAAAAGAACTAGTCCTGAGAGATGTCTGAGAAAAGGGTTTGGAGGCCACCACAGATGGGGAACTGCTGCCTCAAGGACAGAGCACGGTGAAGGATCTGAGAAGTCTGGACAGAAAGAAGCCACTTTACCTGTCTGAACATATTTAATCATGGAACTTTAGGTTAATCCAATACTTGTTAACATCTCTAAAACACACTTCGGGAAATTGCTGTAAAGTGGCAAGATCCCCTCTCCCCCTCCCCCAAATGTTCCTTGCTTAACCTGAGTGTTCTCCTGCCCATAATTCCCCTGGAAGCAGCTGTCTGCTTGCTTCAGGTCAGGGATGCTGCTTTTGCTCAAAACATTTTTAAAACCTTTTCCTGGGAATTCCCTTTGGAGCCTTTTGTGAGTTATATCATTAATCCAAAGAGAATAATTGCATATATTATTCTATATTAGTATATGTGATAATGTGATGCTTTTATAATGTACTGATAATTATAATAGCTGCTGTTTCTTGTGTGCTTACTATGTGCTGGCCACTTTCATAAAGTGCCTATAAAAATCCTATAAATTAGACCCTATTATTATCCACAGATACCTGGGGTCTAAAGGCTACATAGTGGTTAGCAGTGTAGGGATTTGAATATGAGTCCACCTGAATCCAAACCCTTCATTTAAAATCCAGAGCTCGATTTTAGAATGACCTGGCTCAAGAGTGAATTCATCAGTTTGCTCATTTTCCTGACAGTTTCAATAAGTCGGCTATCCTCTTAAAGATGGGTCAAAGAAGCTGTCAATTTCCAAGGCAATTTCCAAAGAGGAAGTGGTTTGAGAAAAGGCAGCATCATTGGGACTGTTGTGTGACATTGTTTTGTGATTACCCAGGAAGACAATTTTGATAACTGAGATCCTTCCTCATTGGATTTTAAGCTCTAGACTTTGAGTACTAAATAAAAGCAATAATAAAGATGATCATAGTAGCCTTGCCTCTGAGATGCCCTGTAGCTTTGCTTTGTCTGTGTCCTGGACCATAACTCAGGTGTAAGCCCTCTCTGCCCTGTCTTGCAGAGGCCTGGCACTGTGGACTCAGTGTTGTCTAGCAGAGAGTCCTTCAGGAAGCTGCCTAACAATGTGCTTGCATTTCCAAGGTGAGTGTTTTGGTCCACAAGCTCCTCCAGGCACCAGCAATCCTTGCTGCTCTGTTGACCTAACTGGGCAGTGTTTCTCAACCTTTTGTAGCTCATGCTCCTTTTAGTAATAGCCTTACCCCAGTGTTACTGGTGGCTGCTGCTGACAATGATTAAAATCATGATGTTGATAATGAATAAGACATCTATGAAGCCCTTACTGGATTCCAGGTACTATTAAGCACTTTCTAAATATTAATGTACTTAATCTTCACTACAACCCTTTCATATATGTATTATAATTTTATCCATTTTATAAGGGTGCAAAACTTTAATTTTTAAATTAATCTTTATTATTGAAAGTATTACAGATGTCCCCCCTTTTTTCCATTGTCCCCCTCCATCCTAGTTTTAATTTTTTAAACAAGTGTAGCAACATGGTTCAATGCTGAGAACACTGAAGTAAGTAAGAGACTTGGGTTTTATTTCCATTTTGGTTACCACTCACTCGTGTGCTCTTAAATCATGTTCTTAATTTCTGTGCCATAAACTACTATGCATTTCAGGTGGAGGAAGTTTGGGGAATAACAACCAGCTCCCAAGAATATTATTTTCTTATGACTTGTTGAGTCTGGGGCATCTTCTGTGTGTTGGTTTGGAACAGCTTCCTCTTGGAAGGACTGTATGACACATATCTCAGCAAAACCAGTGTGAAGGTCAGAACAGGCCATAGAGAATAGTTGGTCCAACCCCATCATCTTCCAGATAAGATGGCCACACAACTAATTAGGGGCCGCACCAGGAATAAAACTATGGCTCCTGACGGTTCCAGTGGTCTTCCCATTGCACAATGTTGCCTTACTCATTAAAAATCAATCAATGGGTTCAAAATAATTTTATGATTATATTTTGGAAGGCAAATTTGGGTGTCCCCTTGGACATACTTTCCAGGAGGGAAATAATTGCAGTGAGGCAAGGAAAATTAGAAATTCTAGAAATGGACACAAGGACTCAAATACTCAAAACAATTGCAGGTGTTTTACTGACTTGATGTTTGGCCCCTGATTTTACTGGATGTTCCCTACCCCCGACACCCAAATTTTAATCCAGCACTCTGTACCTGAGACCAAAGAAAATCTGCAATTACACACATGCACTGAACAGACAGACCCCTTCTCCCATTGTGCCATTGCAAGTCCCTCTGTTTTGCCTGAGGAAAGGATGGAGAAGTGGGGAGGAGAAAGAATAAGGGATATAATGGTTATTTCTGGGCATACTCTGCCTACCAGGCTCTGAACCCTTGCCTTCAAGCTTTTACTGTAGCATCCCTATGGCATCTGGTTACAGAACTGGAAAAGACAGACAAATTCAAACTAAAACCAAAATAAAAACTTAAATGCAGGCCTTCAAAGCATTTTCTATAAGACCAGCTTTTGAGTCCTCAGTATAGAATTGGAAGGTTTTGGTCAGCTCCCAGACTTAGCCTCAAAGAGTGTGAGTCAGTTTGTACTCAGCAAAGCAAATCACTCACCCCCTTGAGAGACATGGGCTTATGACAGAATCAGCAAGCTAGCTGGGTTGCTTCTCAGAATTGAGAGTTCACACAGTCACCTATTCAGGTCCAGAAGGACAAACATCTTGGCTCGTTCCTAGGATTGAGCTCAAGGAGATGGAGAACAAACCACCTATGGAGACCATTGTGGAAGAAGGTGAGAAGTATAAACCAAGGAAGTACAAGTTAAACAACTGGACAGACAAAGTAGAAGATGTCAGAGGTACGCCAATGGTATAATCTGTCACTCTTTACTGCTTAATGAGCCCACCCATATTGCTTAGAACTCTTTTACCCAAAGCAAATAAAGTTAGATTCACGAATAATCACTGTATTCTTCTCTCAAACACCAATTCCTAGAATCTGTATCTTAGTTTACTACTTTTATAACTCTTAGGTACTTAGACTGTGATCTCTTTGCTGGCTCCCCATTGCTTAAAGAGGTCAAAACTCAGATGACTTGTATGAATGCTTATAAGCCTAACCAATGGACACAGACACCAGGGGCATGAGTGGGGGGGGGGGCAATGGGGAGATAAGGACCCATATGTAATACCTTAATCAATACAGAAAAAAATGTGAAAAAAACAACTCAGATGCCTACAGGGTCTGGGCAGGTAACACACATGTATAAAGTGGGATGGTTATAACATGATAGGGAGACATGTTAGCATAAATAATAATTTTTATGAAAAATGGTAAGTGTACATCTTTGATACCTGGCTTATAGAAGATAGTGGATTCTCATATCTGGGTCTTCATTTAATCTGTTATGATAACATTTTTTTTGGTTGAAGCATATGAAAGAAAACTAGAAAACTTCAAAGACTTTTCAAAAGGGTCTTAGGGATCCCCAGGGGTTGCCAGACTATAGAGGACTGTTCCTCTATCAGATTGTTGATTTGTGTAAATGTGAGCCAAGTGGTATCAAATTTTCTGATATTTTAAGAGAAGCAGAGATCCTGAAATCGATTGACTTTAAATATTGACAGCTACTTGACATTGATACAAAAAAGGATGATTGGACCAAACAAAACATATCAATGAGTAAACATTGGCTTGGACATGTTGGTTTTGTAATGTGGCCTATGGGATTACGTATAGACTTTTAGTCTAAAATTCACATGTTTCATATTCTTAGCCTCATATGTCACTGCTCCCTACAGATTCCTTCTTTGAGCAAAATTGTCTATTCATGTTCTTCTAACATGTCTTACCCTCCCTTCCCTGACCTCATGCATTTGTTCACTTTTTTTCCTCCTGCCTTGAATGTCCTTCCTTTTCTTTCTTAAAAAAATATTCTTATTGATTTCAGAGAGGAAAGGAGGGTGAGAGTGAGATAGTAACATCAATGATGATGAAAGCAAAAATATATACAGGGTGAGAAAAAAGTAGGTTTATAGTTGTTCATATGGAAAATAAGACAATAGTTAATAATACAAAAATAAACTCTGTTTCACTTACAACTATAAACCTACTTTTGCCTTACCCTCTATTTTTAAACCACACTAGGGCAAGGGACAATAATTTAAAGGTAAGAAAATATATCTCATGTGAAAATTTTCCCTGGTAAAATTATGAGTTTAAAAATTTGTGTTAAGTACAAACCACCTATTTAAAGTTGAAAGGACCCTTACTTTCATTTATTCTATAGATATCTTATCACCCAAGAAATGTCCAGACAGAAAAGCTTTCTCCTCTGGCAAAGCGAAAGGCCTCAACTTGCTAAACAAGTTTGAGCAGAGTGGGGATAGGGAGAAGAATATGAGCTCTGAAAGGTAATGCATTGGTATTTTTTCTGTTACACTTTACTAAATATAGTTGTGTGTTTTTTATGGTTTTTGTTTTGTTTATTGATTTCAGAGAGGAAGGGAGAGGGAGAGAGAGAAATATAGATGAGAGAGAATCATTGATTAGCTGCCTCCTGCACTCCCCCTACTGGGGATCCAGGCCACAACCAAGCATGGACCCTGACCAGGAATCGAACCATGACCTCCTGGTTCATGGGTCTATGCTCAATCACTGAGCCACATTGACCAGGCTAAATATAGTTTTGAGTAATTTCTTGATGTAGGGAGTTTAAGTAAGTATTCATTCATTCCTTCATTCAGTATTCTTGAGTACAGTTTATGTACTAGGTGACGGGGATAGTAAGGACAATCAGAGCTCACGATCTAGTGGGGAAGACAGATATACATAGAACAACAAATTCAGTAGGTAAAATGCTATGACACAGGTGGAAACAAAATAGCACAGAGGGGGAACATCTAACTTTTCTTGTGGATTTGGGAAAACTTCCCTTTTTGTTTTCTGAGTGCTTGGATATTATGACGTGACACAGTTTTATAGTGAGACCAAATTGGAAAGCAGTTTTGCCATACATGCTGACACTCAATAATTATGTTCTTTGAGTGAATGTATTGCAAATTATGATGGCTGTGTCTTTTTCTTGTTACTTTATGCCAAAAAAATTCTACTTTCTTCTCCCTTTGAGTAGGATACTTTTCAAGACCACAAATCAGTCAACCACACGCAAGTATTTATTGAGTACTTTTATGTGCCTTGTACTGTGCTGTCAACTTTCAATTTGTTACTGTATCAGCTGTTACGAGTGCAATGTATACTTTTTGGGTTACTAAAGTCCTGTTCAAAACTCTAAGCATGCTTGTTTTGGATAACTTCACTGTTATTAAATATAATTGAGAGTTAAATGTCTAGTACTTGGTAATTTAGTTCAATCCAACACACATTGAGCACCATCCTGTGCCAGGAAGTTTTTAGACACTGAATATACAGAGCTATACGACGTATAAAAGACATAAACCTGCTCTAATAAAATATATAGTCTTGTAGGAGGACTGACACTAAAGAAATAATGCATGTGATGAAAGTAACAAAAGAAAGTACAAAGGCTACAAAGAGGGGAAAGTAATTGTTAGTGAAGGTTTCCTATAGAAATTGACCAACAAATGTTTTATGTGCTGATTACTAAAATAATACATTTTTATCACAAAAATTTTGAAAGAATGAGAAAAGAAAGAGATATAAAAATTACCAATAATCCCAGTGTATTCTTCATTTTAACTCATATATAATATATACATATATTTATATTTGCAACATATACACATATGTTAAATAAAACTGAGATTGTATGAACCTTTGTTATACTTAACAATAAGTGGTGAGGATCCCTATGGCTTTAAATATTGCAAAACTTGAACAAATGATTGCACATCATCTCATTGATTAAACCTTTTGTTTAACCAATCTCTTATTGGATAATTTAGACGAGTTTCAATTTTTTTAAATGATGTTGTGATAAATATAATTACACATAATTCCTTGCACACACCTGAGGATAAAAACTTTAAAGTGAAATTTCAGAGAGAAGGAAAGAGACCATTTTTTTATGCCTTTGTTGCACTTACTAATTATCCTCAAAAAGATTGTACCCAATTGCCTTCCTAGTAGCAATAACACGAGGGACTGCTGTCTTCTCTACAGCCTTTCTAATACTGGACATTGTACCCTTAGTGGCTTCCCATTCTCACCCAGGGCAAAAGCCAAAGGCATTACTATGGCCTGTGAGGTCCTGCCTGATCTCTGACCTCCCTATAGCTGCACTGAACACAGGCATGCTCCCACTACAAGGACTTTGCATCCATTTGCTCTGCCTAGAATGCCCTCTTCATCAGATATCTGCATTACTTTTTAAAAAAATATTTTTAGTGCTCGCTTCAACAGCACATATACTAAAATTGGAATGATCCAGAGAAGATTAACATGGCCCCTGCACAAGGATGACAAATATATATATATATGTGTGTGTGTGTGTGTGTGTGTGTGTGTGTGTGTGTGTATGTATACATGCATACACATATATTGATTTCAGAGAGGAAAGGAGAGGGAGAGAGGTAGAAACATCAATGATGAGAGAGAATTGCCAATCGGCTGCCTTCCCCCCGCCCCCGCATGCCCCTATGGGGGGTCGAGCCCACAACCCAAGCGTGTACCCCGACTGGGAATCGAACCGTGACCTCCCAGTTCATAGGTTGATGCTCAACCACTGAGACACACATTATTTTTTCCTCATTTCCTTCAGGTATTTACTCAATTGTCTCCTTGGTGAGAACTTTCCAGGCCATTCTAGTTATGGTTTAATACTCGATTCTTCCAGCACAATGTGGCACTTATCACCATAAAAAAATACTATATAGTTGCCCTGGCCAGGTAGTTCAATTGATTTGAGCGTTGTCCCAATATGCCAAGGTTGCAGGTGCGATCCTCAGTCTGGGCACATACAAGAATCAACCAATGAATGCATAAGTAAGTGGTACAACAAATCGATGTTTCGCTCTCTCCCTCCCTCCCTCTCTCTCTCTAAATAAACATTAAAATACTATATAGTTCACTTATTTTTCTTGTTTATTTGCTATCTGCCTGTCCCCATCAGAATGTTAATTCCACAGGGATCTTGTGTGTGTTTTCTTCACTGCATCTTCCATGCTGAGAACAATGTACACAGTAAGCACTCAATACATTTTTTGTAGAATGAAAACTTTTATCCTCATTTTGAAGAATTGGTAACTGAGATTTTATAAGACTACCCAGCTTGGCCAATGCCAGTCAGCTTGTAAGCAAAAAATCTGGTCAAGTCCACGTTTATCTGACACAAAGCATAGGCTCTTAACCTCTATAGATACAGATGCTTTAAAGAAAACCACTGAGATATTTACTCTGTCTTTTATATTTACACTTGCCTCTAAAATTATCATTGCTCTCGATGTTGCACTGTGTTAAACATGAATTAATGTTGCGTTGTTTTTATAGCTTATCATCTTCAAGGTGTTGGAAAAGTGACAATGAAATGAAACCTAAAACTCCTCCAGCCAGTGCTTGCCACGATCATAATAAGGCAGGACAGGTACAGAGTTTCAAATAAAACTCAGTCAGAACCTTCTTCTGACTTCTATTTCTCAGTGAGAGTTCCGGGAATCACTCTTTAACATGTGGATATGGCTCCAGTAGTCAGGACTCCAAATTGGACTGTCATCAATCTACCAGTCAATCAACTAGTTAGGAATAGGGCTGGGAAACCTCTTACTAATTCTCAGTTGCTATTAAATGAGAGTTGAGTAAATCCTCTTGAATATTTGTGGGGCCCACTCTGCAAATCTCATTTTGCTAATTATCATTAACATATCCTTTTATAATGTCTGCTTTTTGATACACCTAACCTTTGGAGAGCTTGTGAAGGCAAAAAAGTAAAAGGTAAACTTAATTTGTCCTAAAACTTGGTATTGCAGGAGTTGTGTTACGTATGTTTGCAACGAGCACAACAAAATTCCCCATTGTACTACAGTGAGGAGAGGAGGAGGAGAGAGATAGAAGAGGAGCGACTCATACAGCAGTATCAAATGTTGAAAGATCAAGATACTTTCTTCAAACACCAGGTAATTCAATGCCTTGACGAAGAGTGTTTAACATGGGACAGTAGACCATGATTATAAAAAGGCATTTAAAATGTCCTATCACATGCCTGTAATGGAACACATTTAATCACTTACGTACTGCAGGACTGCAACATAGGTTTGTGTCCAAGTGTTCACTAGTAATAAAGAACACTGGGATGAATATTCAAGCAGCTGATTTCTACCCCTTCCCCCATAAGGCCTGAGTTTTAAAGGTGGAATTCCTGGACTTATATGGCTTTATTGTTCATTTCTGGTAAAATATAATCCTGGTCAATGCTACCTTCAAATTCATGGCCTATGTCAAGAAGCAAAGACAGAATGGCACCTGTGCAGGTGCACTGTCAATAACTGGTCTGTGGTCACCAATAATTGACCCTTTCCTGCATTTGTGATATAAGGTAAGGAACCTTCCATTCCTTCTTATGTACCCTATAGAGGTGTTGCCTGAAGCCCAAGAACAGGGAATAAAAACTTTCCCCAACCATTGCCTCCAAAAGGCAGGTTTCTACCTTGGTTGGATTATTATTATTTATATATATATTTTTATTGATTTCAGAGAAGATGGGAGAGGGAGAGAGAGAGAGAAATATCAATGATGAGAAAGAATCATTGATTGCTGCCTCCTATACACCCCACATTGGGGATCGAACCTGCAACCTGGGCATGTGCCCCTGACTGGAATCAAATGGTGACCTTCTGGTTCATAGGTCGATGTCCAACCACTGAGCCACATGGGCCGGGCTTGGGTGGATTATTTTAATGTAGTTGAATTAATTTTTTAAAGGCTATATTTTAATGTGTTTTTTCCCTCCTCTAAAGATGAAAAGTCTGGCTAATAGAGAACAGAATCAAAAAAATGCTGCCTATAATCTTGGAGTTGCTGAAGCTGTGCGAATCCACAAGAACGAGAAACCTGGATTTTATGTAAGGGTCTTTTTAGAATTTCTATTGTGAATACCTGCCCCCTCTGTGAATTTTGGGTTCTGTTGTCAACAAAGAATGTTCGGCCTATAGAAAAGTTTCATAAGAGTTTATTTTAGTCAAAAATTTGAGGATATGCCCAGGAGCAAAATCTGAAAGGATTGAGAAAATGCTCTGGAGAATTGCAATTTTGTAGCTTATTTTATACTTTAGAATCAAAGGAGAGAGAACCTAAAGAAAGTTACATGAAATCCATTGGTAGTAAATTAAGGGGACAGGAAAAAAAAGCAAAGTGGGGAAATTTCTGGGATTAGATAAAAAAGCAAAAGAGAAAAACACATACTTCTTAGATTTGTGGGTAAAGGAGAGTTAATAATTAGCACAGCACATAGAGATGGTGTGTGGGGAACACGACAGCAATGTGGGGTTTGATGGTCTTGTGCTGTTGGTTGTGCCTTTGAAGAATAGGAAAAGAAAATTACTCTGACATTGCCTAGATGCATAAGAACAATAGAGTTCACAAGGTAAAGGGTGACCTTTGCTAAGGAAGCTATAGGCCTGCGATATGACCACCTGCTAGATGACCTGCCCAGGTGGAAATTTATAGTCAGAGCATCCTGTGGTTACTTTTGGTCACCGAGTCTGTAAGACCTGCCAGGTGGCTCCCCTGAGCATGTCAGGTTTAGTTTATGGCCACCTTTTCTTTCACACCGTATTGCAGGTTGTGCTGGTTTTTAACTGGCAGACGTGAAAAGTGGGCTGTGCCTCCACAGTGTTCACATTCAGCACACAGTCCTTATTTGTCACTACAGTGCTTATTAATGATAGAAATTGTCAACCAGGAGCTGGGGTGGGTCGTAGGGGACAGTCTACTAAAGTCCTGCTCCAGGAATAGCTGATTGAAAAGGAGAACCAGCGTTACCTGAGGGCTTGCTAGAAATACAGAATCTAGGGTCCCACCCTAGACCTCCAGAATGGGAATCTACATTTGAATAAGATCCTTAGGTGATCTGTGGGTGCATTAAAGTTTGAGAAGCCCTGTTTCAAATGGAGGTGAGCCACCTGCTTTGTCACTGATTTTAATATTTTCAATCATTATATGTCTACCTTTATTTCTGCCTGAATCTTTCTCCTTTCACTCACTATCTAAGTGGTAGGCTGACCCTCTAGACATCAATCTAATAAAATACATATTTTTTGTCCATTGTCAAACATTTATTAATGCATTTCTATGTGCTTGCCACTTTGCTGGTGGCTAAGAATACAAAGATGAATAAGACAAGGTTCCCTTTGAAAGAGGTCTGAAGAAGATAGTAGGAGAGACAGATTTAAAGAGTCAAGAGTGTGGTATGCCAAATGCTATGATAATCTTAGAATACGACACTATGTGGGCAAAGAGGAGAGTTACTTAACCCAGACCAGAGATCTGGGAAGACCTCCTGGCCTATAAGAGTTAGGAAAAGACCTGAATGGAAGAAGAACCTTCCAGGCAGGGATGGCGGGGAGGGAAGGAGGTAGAGCACAGTGCTTTTGAGACTTAGGCATGATCTTTCTGTCCCCTTAGATATAAGTTGCGCATTATATGTCTTACTGCCCACTTAGTATCTCCTATTTGATATATCTGTAGACATCTTAAACTTAAAAAGACCAAAACAAAATTTTTGATTCCCTTTCTCATCCTGTTCTCTCAGCTTTCCCATTTTAGTAAGTGGCATCACCAGGCAGATAGTTGCACACCCAGATTCCAGATTCCTCCTCCTCTGTCTCCCACACCCAACCATCTGCAAGTCCAGTTGCCTTTACCTCCAACATGGATCTAGCACAGTGATGGCGAACCTATGACACGCGTGTCAGAGGTGACACGCGAACTCATTTTTTTGGTTGATTTTTCTTTGTTAAATGGCATTTAAATATATAAAATAAATATCAAAAATATAAGTCTTTGTTTTACTATGGTTGCAAATATCAAAAATTTCTATATATGACATGGCACCAGAGTTAAGTTAGGGTTTTTCAAATTGCTGACACGCTGAGCTCAAAAGGTTTGCCATCACTGATCTAGCATCTCTCCATCTTCAATGTTACTACCCTAGTCCAAGCCACATTATAAGACCGAACTTCTGCAACACCCTCCCAAATTAGGCTTGCCTTTCTACAAACTATTGTCCACACAGCAGCCTCTCAGAATGATTAATCAAAACATATCTAATGGCTTCCCATTGAATTAAAATAAAATTTAAACTTACCTTGACCTGTCAGGTCCTACCCTGTTCTTTGAGCTCATTTACTTCTATTTTCTCTTGCTCACTATGCCTCTGCCACATGGACTTTTTTCTGCTTATTAAACATGCCTAGCTTGTTTTCATAGTGTCTTTGCATTCGCTGTTTCTACTGTATGGGACACGGGTCTCCTCGTCTCCACTGAAAAGCGTTCCCTAATAACCAACCAATTTAATCCTATTCCCACCCAGCCACTTGCCATGATAAGGGCGTCATAACACCACAATCGTAAGTGATCTTTGTATTGTCTACTGATTCACTGTCTGTCTCCTGCTCCAGGGTGCCCGCTCATTGAGAGCAGGGGGGTTTGTGGGTCTCAGTTCTTGGTCACTGTTGAATCATTAGTGTTTAGAACAGCCAGACCCAGAGCAAGGGTGCAGTTCTCCTGATTCCTGCAGTTCACCTCTTCACTGTCCTTGCTCATGCTTCTGCATTCTCAGAATTCCTTCTTATTTCCTTCTCTGTGTTGTATGCACCAGCTCTGGACCTACTCCATGAAGTCCTGTTTTATCTCAGACACTGGGCTTTGGTCTGTGCTGCTAGATTTAGCCTTGAGTATATTCGTATTATTCTGTGCGTTACCTCAACACTAGCTGGTCAATGTGTTGAGGATTTATAAATATTATAAATTAATAACTACTTCCTGATTTATTTTAGCTTTCTGAATTATTACCTTTATTCTTTGTTGCTCTTTGGTATTCTAGAATAAATAAACTGCTTCTCTTTCATTCTAGAGATCCTTCCTATTTGATAAACGGCCATTCAGTCCTGAGATAAAGGCTTTAAAGCAAGAGGAACATATCCAAGGTCTCCTGAAACAAATTAATACTAGACGGGAAAAGGAAATAAAGCAAAGAGAAAACAAAGAGTTGATGGAACGCCTAGAACAAGTGCAACTCACAGAGGAGTGAGTCAAGCTAGATGCGCTCAGGAAAACAGAGCCGGAATTTTTAAAAAATATATTTTTATTGTTTTCAGAGAGGAAGGGAGAGGGAGAGAAAGATAGAAACATCAATGATGAAAATCATTGGTTGGTTGCCTCCTGCACACCCCCTACTGGGGGTTGAACCTGAAACCCAGGCATGTGCCCTGACCGGGAATCAAACTGTAACCTCCTGGTTCAACCACTGGGCCATGTAGGCCGGGCAAGATCACTTTTCTTAGAAAGGAATCTTATGATGAATCATTTTATAGATTATAGAGACACTTTTTGCTTTCCTTTGTAGATTTTTTTAATGTACGGGGTGAGGAGCACTGCCTGCCCCCATAGTAGTGCATTTATATAATATGATCGGCACCTGCTTATTACCCTGTCCTGTCTGTCCAAGACATTGTCCACTAGGCTATGGATTTGAATGACTGTTCTCTTCCTTAAAATGAACGCTCCTTAAAGGAACGCTCACTTTTTACTCACCAGGCTCTTGTTCCTAATAGTTATTAGACATGTTTTGATGATACTAATCTGTATTACTAAATACTCAGTAACAAACTTTGCCCCCACCTTCCCATATTCTTAACTGCCAGACTTGCTGCCCAACGAGCCAAATATATACAAGATAAGATGGAAGAAAAGGAGTGTTACAAGAGGGCTTTGGATGCACAGGTAGGGGAACGGTTATTCATTTAATGATTGTACAGTGCTTCCGTAGCATTCTAAAATATGTCTAAATACTGTGATGTTATGAATCCCCTTATGTGTTATCCATTTGGTGGTTTTGGGGCCCCCATTCCTTCCTGAAGGAATTGGTGTGTTACTACTGTGCTGAAGCCTCGTGCATGAAGTTTATTCCCTGGTGTAACTGTAATCTGCATTATGTGTGTCCCTGTTTCAGATAAAGAACAGATTCCCCCAGCTGCCTATATCTGAGCCCGACTCTTTTGAGCCCATCTTTGGCAGGGATGAGGCTGAGCTGATGGTAGAAACGCGAAAGCGAGAACTGAATTGCATGAGACAGCAGCAGGAGGCAGCTGCTAGCCACAAGAGGAAAGCCATCCTGAACCATCTGGTGGACCAAAAGCGGGATTTGCTGATGCTGCAGAAGACACAGCAACAGTAGGAGACCCCAGATCATTCTTCGTCTTCCTCCTCCCTACTTCCTCTCTCCTATCTTCCTTTCTCTCTCTTTCTCTTTCTCATACAACAGCAGAAAAGCAGTAAGAATAGTGATCACACTGAGGAGATACTATGTGCAAAATATTGTCCTAAGTTTATTGCATGCTTCATCCTCACAATTCACCTATAAAGAAAAGTTATCAAATTTTTAAAAAACACTCTAAACTCTCTTGATCCTATTTCTCTCTCCAGTTACCTCTTCATATTTTTCCTTCCCTTTCCAGTACAACTTCTTGAAAGACTTGTCCACATCAGCACTGCCATTGGAAATACAATGGGAGCCACAAATGTGCTGTTGTGCTCAAATAGACTCAGGCATGAAACTCGGGCCCTTTCTCAACCTCTGATAAACCCCTTCCTTCAAAGAACTGTGCGTGTAGTAGCTGTACTGATGATTGCTGGGGAGGGGGTGGTGAGGGTGACAGGGCAGGCAGAAGAGGACTTCATGCCATAGCAATGCAAGTACCTTTACATTCAATCACCAGACACCTAGTTCTTTAAAAGCCCTGATTTAGGCAACCTGCCAGTGGGGAGTTTTATGAAATCATCAAAGTGCTCAGGAGTTCCAAAAGGACTTTTCTTCAAAGGCATCTCCTCTTTTTAGAAGGCGGTTATACTTAAAAGATAAAAAAGTTACTTTATTAACATTTTATAAATGGTCAGTGGGATGGTGCAAAGAAGTGTTAATGTTCTACACCAGGGAGGTGCACACATGAAAATATGAGTAGAACAGCAGGTTGAAGAAGGAGTATATTGTGGTAAGGGTGGGGTTGTGTTATTAGGAGAGAGAGGTAGGAGTTGTTAAATGCTTGGCTTTTAGAGCCAAGTCACATGTGGGATAGTCTTGCATCTTCCCAGGGCAATATATATTTGTATGTCTATATTTGCTAAAATATTGAACTAGTCTTATACTTCTTGAAAACTAGCTGTTGCCTCAAACCCCACAAGTGCATCCCTGCTGCTCAGGCTGTCCAGCCCCTCCCTGGGATTCCCCTCCTCCACCCCCCATGAAAGACCACTTCCAGTCCATTCTGATTGATCGATGTGGCTCTGCCATTTTACTGGTGGCATATTGGGCATGTTACACACCTCTGAGGGCATTGGGTTCCTTATCGGTTGTTAGGGATAATACCAGTATCTTCCTCCAGGGTGGTTGAGGGTTAAATGAAATGATTCTTGTAAAGAGGTTCTGTTTAGCAAACAGCCACCTGCTGTCCCATGGTGGCTCCGCCCTCCCATGCTGCTGTCCCCCAGCTCCGGCCCTTTGCATCTGTTGTAGAGGTTATTGCAGCTTCCTCTTCTGCTGCTAGCCCTCGGCCGCTCTGGTTGGTCTCCTAAACTTGGATTTAGGAGGAAAAGCTGTATGACCTGAGCCAAACCGCAGGTGAGGTCTTTGAGCCCCTTTCCTTCTGCAAAAGGACAACCCCACTTGCCCTCCTGTCCTGTCTATGAGATTATGTGTGTGGAGGATGTTGGAAACTGCAAGGCTCCGAACAAATACGAACTGTGGTCTGTATTTGATTATCTCTATGACCACAAAGTCATAGACCCGTTTTCTGTGTGGGCCGGACCCTTGTTTTCCGGTTCTATATCCTTTAGTGGTTATTCCAGATTCTCCTACTTCTCTCATCTTTCCCAACTCCTCGCCCTCTGAGCCGCCTCAGGATGTGATCCCAGGTCTTGGTGTGGCAAATAGAAGGGCATTTTCTTTCAGAGGGAATAGCTTTAACCTGTGCAATCCAAACAGGTCTGCTAAAGTATTGTTTTGCTTTAAAAAAAACTTTTCTGTTTTTGTTTTTAAAGAAATGTAACAATTTATGCTGATTAAAATGTTTATTGGTGGAGAGATTAAAATAAAAATGAATAATCTCCCCTGATCAAGTAGTCAGTGTCAAGGTTAATATGTAAACTTTTATATTTTCTCCTATTCTTTACAAATATATTAGAACAATGCACATATATTTTCCCCTTCATTTTTGTAAATGAAAATAAGACCTATGAGCTCTTATACATTACTGCCCAACCTTTCTTGAACCTTCTAATGTGTCATTAAGTTACATTTATGTCAGTACATATATATAAAGTTCATTCTTCTAATTTAATAATAATAATATCTATAATATGGATTACTATAATTTAACTTCTGTACCATTAATGAACATTCACTTTGTTTCCAGATATTTTGCTGTAACAAATTTGCAATAAACATTTTTTTAAAAATCCTCACATGAGGATATTTTTTCCATTGATTTTTAGAGAGAGTGGAAAAGAGGGAGGAGGGGAAGAAAGAGAGAAACATCAATGTGAGAGAGACACATCGATTGGTTGCCTCCCACATGGTTCCCAACCGGGCTGGGGATTGAACCTGCAACTGAGGTACATGCCCTTGACTGGGAATTGAACCCAAGACCCTTTAGTCCACAGGCCGATGCTCTAACCACTGAACACTGGCCAGGGCTGCATTAAACATTTTAAATATATACTGGTTTTACATATAATTTATACTTTTAAAAAATTTCTATTGGATAAATTCCTAAAACTGAAGTTCCTAGATCAAGCATATGGAACATTTTAAATATTACCAGGTGCTGACAGTTTGTTTTCTATAAAGGTACCCTAGTTCGCTTCCACCAGCAGTCTTGTTGCCTCCCCTCTAACCCTACTTCATTCTCTTACTTTCTAGGCATTTAAATTAAACTGACTTTTTAATCTATATTTTCAAGGATAATATAAAAATGGCCATAAAGCATATGAAAAGTTGCTCATCATCATTAGTTATAAGGGAAATGCAAATGAAAACCACAATGAGATAACTGCTCATTAACAAATGGTTTCCATATTCTGTGAAATGTGTGTGGTGAGCTTTATTCAACCACCAGCTGTCATCATTTGCTCTGTTTGAAATAGAGGTCATTTAGCATTTAATTGTATTTTGCGTTTCCAAGATAAGAGATAGTTCATGATTTATTGAATATTTACTTATGTGAACCTGAGATACAGTGATTCTCTACTCCAGTGAGTAAAGATGGCAAGGTAGGAAGGTGAGATTTAAAATGTGTTTTCTTTTATTTTTTTAAAACACATTTTTGTGACTTCAGAGAGGAAGAGAGAAATAGAAACATCAATGATGAGAGAGAATCATTGATCAGCTGCCTCCTGCACGCTCCCTACGGGGGACCGAGCCTGTAACCCGGGTATGTGCCCTGACTGGGAATTGAACCAGTAACTTCTTGCTTCATGGGTTGACACTCCATCCACTGAGCCACACCAGCCAGGGCTGAACACAAGATCTTGAAGAGATATTTGCACACTCATGCTGATGTCAGCATTATTCACAATAGCTGAGCAATGGAAGCAACCCAAATGTTCACCCACAGATGAGTAGATAAACAAAATGTGGTATATACATACAATGGAATATTATTCAGCTTTAGAAAGGAAGGAAATTCTGACACATGCTACAATATGGTAAACCTTGAGGACATTATGCGAAGTGAAGTAAGTCAGTCACAAAAAGACAAATACTATATGATTTCGGTGTATGGTGTTCAGAGAAGTCAGATTACGGAACAAAGTAGAAGGTGGTTGCCAGGGGCCAGAGGGAGGGAGAAATGGGGAGTAGTTTAATGAGTTTAGAGTTTCATCTTTACAAGGTGAAAAGAGATCTGGATATTGATTATACAATGATGTTAATATACTTAACATCATATATCTGTACACTTAGAAGTGGCCAAGATGCTCAATTTTATGTTATGTGTTTTTGACTACAATGAAAAAAACTATAAAAAGATAAAAAGGTTAATTATGTATAATAGGTACCATTCAGTCATTGAGCTCCCATTATGTGATAGGCATTGATACTTTCTGTGTATTATTTCATTTAATCTTTATAATGACTGCTATGCTTGTTAGAGGAAAATGCTCTTAGAAGTGAATGAGCACAGCACATTACAGTGGGGCCTTGACTTACGAGTTTAATTTGTTCCGTGACGGAGCTCTTAACTCAAATTACTCGTATGTCAAATCAAAAAGTGAACGAGTGAGACACGTGATGCTGGGCTGATGTTGTGGCGTTCAGCAAACTAGCGGTGGGGTATCTGAAGCTGGCTCATAACCCGAATTTTAGCTCACAACTCAAAGCAAAAAATCGGCCTAGAGACTGCTCGTATCTCGAAAAATTCGTTAGTTGGGACACTCCTAAGTCAAGGCCCCACTGTATTGCTTTTTATTGGTGGGTCCTGACACCTAGTGGTGGTTGCTACCTATAACAAAGCCCTTCAGAGCTGGCTAAATCAATTGTCACATACCAGAGTGAAGTCTCTTCTAGACTTTATTGAGAGTTGATGGTAAGAGTTTGAGCTGGGCAAGAAATAGGCACATATAAAGAATTTGGTCTAAGGTGATTCATGACAAGCAATGACTATGCATTTGGAGACCAGTCATAGAAGCACTTAACATTAGGAATATTGGAACATTGTTCTTGAAGGAAACATTATACAGCAGTCACTTTGAAAATATGACCTTCATCAAACACTCCTTTTTTGTGTGTTTTACCTTCTTTATAATGTTAGATATTGTCTCGATCTCATTTTCTTTTGCCTAGTCACTTCTGTCTCTTTTCTCCTTTGCACACCTGGCTACTTTGTCTTGTAAAATGCCTGCAGCAACTGGGAGGCTGATTACTGGCATCTGAGAGGCTGGAATAAAGGGAAAGAAGCATAAAGTATTGGAAATCCATTTGAGATGATTCTTCAGAGCAGTTAAATTAGCCTCAAATTGGGGGGGACGAGAAGAGATAAACCAAAGAATTTATATACTTACTAGTGACCCAGTGCACAGATTTGTGCACATTGAAAGGAAATTAATTAGAAGGTGGCCGGCGGGGCAGGACTGGGCAAGATGGACCAGACACGCCCTGGAGCCAACCTCCCGTGGTCCCTCCCCAGCATCTACAGAGTGAGCGGGGTCCCTCCAGCAGGTGGGGTCCCTCGGCCTGGCCTGTGGGAATTGGGCTGAAACCGGCTCTCCGACATTCCCCGAGGGGTCCTGGAGTGTGAGAGGACACTCTGCAAAGTTGCTGTGGTACAGGGTGTAGAACACAAACACAAGTGTGCAGTAAACCTGATTCGAGGCCAATAGTGCCCCAGCAACAACATAACCCACAGCAAAGGTGGAATCTCGCAGTGAGGAATCAGGCTCCCTCCTCTCTGGTTCCGGGGTGTATCACCTGAGAAACACTGCAGCTCGGCAGCTCCTGTGTTGAGCATCTGCCCCTGGTGGTCAGTGTGCATCATAGCGACTGGTTGGACAGTTGGACACTTAACATATTAGCCTCTTATATATATAGATATGCATAGCCCATGGACTTGGGCAATAGGGTAGTGAAGATCTGGGGGAGTCGGTAGGGGCTGGGAGGCAGGGGAGTAAAGGAAGGGGAATGGGAGATATCTGTAATACTACCAATACTAAAGATATATTTTAAAAATTAGCCTCAAAGGAAATTAATAGCTTTCAAGGCTGAATTTGCTAATTGGAAAAAGGTTTCAATCCTGCTAACTTAAATAGGATTGAAGATGAAAGGTCCTAAACCCATACATTGTTTGAGAGGTAGGAGTTTCACTATGGTATTTTTGTACAGTGTTCATATCTTTCGGTACATTTCAAAGAAACAAAACAGAAGGTTTTTGTTTAATTTACCATAAAAGGAATGGGGCTCATGAGGTTGCTGTATATGCTTTCCCTGATATTGTGAACAGAATCAGACTATTCCGCTCTCCCCAGGCACTTGGCGGATAGAGATGCTGAGCTAGAGAGAGTGAACAAGATGAACCAAAGCTTACAGGAGGACTGGAAGCGGAGTGCTGAGATGAAGAGGCAGCGGGACTGGGAGCAGAAGGATTTTGAGCGGTAATACCTGACTGGAACCAGAAGTTCTGTGTTTGCAAAGAAAATCCCTTCTACTCCTCGTTTACTTTCCTCTAATTGTGGGATGGCCAATAGATTTCAAGAGCCAACTCCAGTTGATCAGTAGTGGCTGCCTAGTGAACTTTATGGGGAAAAGAATTCTGAGTTCAGTGAGAAAAATGGCTTCAATGAATTAGAAACGTCTGCTATGAATATGGGATTGGAGAATATTGTGCTATGTGTTATGTAGTTGCCATCTCTGCCCTAATCTTTGCCTCTGTACAGGGTGGCTCTATTTTCTTTTTTTGTGGAGGGTGGGGAGGCATGGGGGGAGAAGGGTGGGAATTGTCTTTGGAAATAACTAGTTGGAAATAGGGAGACTGAGTTTCCATTGGAACACACCCAAGGCTTATAGAATGGTCATCAAAGAGCAGAGTCAAGGGGTTGTGGGCAAGATTAGCAACTGGAAAAATGAGAAACCCAGTATGGAACCAACCAAAAACATCTTCTTGGAATGTATCATTGTATCCCTGTTCCTCTCTGCAGCTACCTTTTTACATTCTAGAGTTAGGGAATCAAGCTTGGTTTTGAAAATTTAGCTCTCACTTTGCAGAGGCAGCTAATATGTTCTTATTTGTGAGATGGGGAAGTAAACACCTCCCTGGCGTTGCTAACCCAAGAGTTTTGGGGTTCAAATAAGGAGGTGGAGAAGTACTACTCTTAAAAATTAAAACACTTTACAAATGTAAGGTATGGCTTCATAGAATGCTAAAAACTTGAAAAAACAGGCCAAGTCTATACAATCAAATGCTATAAAAATTTGAACATACCCAAATAATATTTTAAATTGCCAATTATCAACTAATTGTTATCATGAGCAAAATTTGTCATAATGGATCTTGATCTGTAACTCTCCTTTTCATTTTAGATTTTCTTTTAAGGCATTTTTTTGGGCCTGTCTTTGTAATGTGCAAAACCCATATTTTGTGACAATGAAAGTATGAGGGATGACATGGAAAATAGGTTCCCAAGTGGAAGTGGGGTGGTTTGATTGGTTGGAAGAGGAAGTAAAAGGGGAGTTGGAGATTTCAAGCCATTTTCTCAGTGTTGGGGGCAAGCAGATAAAGGCAGTGAGAGTAAGCACAGGGGGATTTGAGTTGGATTTTGGAAGCATGCTTGGCCAACATGGTGACCAAGGATAGAGGAGACACAGAAATGACCTTGAGTAGCAGGATAACACAGCTGCTCCAAGGGCATGGCAGAGCAGACCTGTGTCCCGAAGACCTAGGCCAGGTGTGGGCAGGGACTCCAGCAGGCAGCAGGCAGTTGGTTTGAAAGAGAAAACAAAGCCAAAGCAGGTGGGAGATGACAGGTGAGTAGTACGCTCCTGGAGAGCAGGGACCAGGGGTGACTTTCCTTTTGTATCCCTTCCACTGCCCTGGCTTCCTAGCGAGGCCCCCAGCAAGGACTCTGGGGACGCCTGCTGATGGCTGCCTTTCCTCCCCTCTCCTCAGGGCCCCGGACAAGCTCTTCCTCCTGGACCAGTGTGACAAGTACCAGCGCTGCAAACAGTGCCAGCGCAGCACCTCCAACGGGGGCCACAGCCACCAGTGGCCGCTGAAGAAGCCCCTGCAGGGCTCCAGGCTGTTTGTGTGAAACTCAGAGTTTGGACCTGCACTTCCTGGTCAAAGTTCTTTTTTTTTAATGTCTGAAAATTGTATTGTGCGGTTTCAGTGCTTTCAGGTAGCTTGCTTTTCAACCGCTTACCGAATTCACAAAGACAGGGTCTCCCCTCCTGTCTTCCTCCCAGCCCCATAGAACCCTGCTGCCATTGGAGGGGGGATGGCACCCAGCTTTATTCTGGCTGTGGGGGTTCTGCTGACTCAGCCCCGCCACTCCCTCTGCGACTTTGTGTAAAACACGGTATCTTTCCTTCATATGTAATGAATAATTTAGTCATAATAAATATTTTCTACATATTTATTGCCTGACTGTGTCTAGCAATTCATATTGGTAAATTTAAAAATAATTGTCTTTATTGATTTTTAGAAAGAGAGGAAGGGAGAGAAAGAGAAGAGAGAGAGAGAGAGAAGAGAGAGAAGCACCAATCAGCTCAGCCCGACGGGGAACTGAACTGGCAACCTTTTGGTGTACAGGGCAATGGTCAACCAACTGAGCCACACTGGCCAAGGCTTAATAAACATTTTTAAAGGGTAGAGATGCTTTGTATCTAAAACAATTTTAATTATAAAATTTCTGAAAATCTTATAGTTCTTTGCCATATCTGTTAGAAGCTGTTTATTAACTATTATTTTTATTTGAAGTGTGATATTTTTCCTTGTCTTCCTAACCAAAAAAATGGGTTTCTACCAATGAATTGATTAGACATTTTACATGCTTTTTGAACTGTGTTAAGACAATATTTGGGTACTTGATACTTTATTTTATTATATAACTAGATGCCTGGTGCACAAATTCATACACCATTGGGGTCCCTCAGCCTGCCCTGCGGGATTGGGCCGAAACCGGCTTTCCAACATCTCCTGAGGGGTCCCGGATTGAGAGAGGGTGCAGGCCAGGCTGAGGGACCCCACCTGTGCACGATTGGGGCCGAGGAGAGACAAGGGAAATTGGCCAGCCAGGGAGGGGTTGCAGGAGGGAGGGCTCCAGGGCATGTCTGGCCTGTTTCACTCAGTCCTGATTGGCTGGACCCAAGCAGCAAGCTAACCTACCGGTCGGAGTGTCTTCCCTGATGGTCAGTGCACGTCATAGCGAGTGGTTGAGCAGCCTTAGCATATCATTAGCATATTATGCTTTGGTTGAATGGCCGACTGAACACTTAGCATATTAGGCTTTTATTATATAGGATTGCTAAAATGGTGATATGTTTAATGTTAGTTTAAACATATATTCATTCTGTCTGAAAACACAGTTCTGCAGGAGAAATAATTTGTCATTGTTCACCATTCACCAGCTGGTATAAGAGCTTAAGCATCAAAATAAATAATGAAATTCAGGAGAGAGACTTAATTTAAGTAAGATGGTATAGTTGTGTCAATTAGTAAAAGTAGAAGCAAAGGCATTACTAAAGATAAGGAAAATCATTATTTAAAGTTTCAATTCACCAGGAAGTTATAACAATTCCAAACTTCATGCATCAAACAACATTGGTCCAAAATATATAAAGCAAATATTGTCAGAACTACAAGGAAAATTGATAAGTTTACCACAGTTGTGGGAAATTTTACTGTCCTTTCAGAAATCTGTAAGAATAAAGATTTGAACAAAACAATTAACAAGCTTGAGCCCATGAACACATAAGGGGCATTGCATCCAACAGCGAAGATCCATATATTTTTCAAAGTACATGAAATATTTTATTGAATTTGACTATAATAGACAAACATAAAAATTTCAGTAAATTTAAAAATATCTGAATAATACAAACACTTTTCTGACTACAATTAAGCTAGGAAAAAAGTTAATATCCATGCATTTGGAATTTAAAAATCTATTTTTAGAGACTTCCATTTATAGATAGGATGAAGTAGGTCATGGAAGCCCAGCACCCACCCTGTAACAACCAGAAAAATATGGATAAAAATTTTAAGTCATATGTTTAAAGACGTGGGAGCTGTGAAAGCAGCAAAGACTAGGTGAATAGGAATTCCAGAGGAAGGAGCTGAAGTAAGTGGCCATTTTGGTCGCTGGCAGCATTTACTGATTCTGGTCTGGGATTAAAAAACAGGCTTGATCTTTGCAGTGGGTCTCTACTGAGGAAAAGAGAAACCCAGCAAGGCTTTTGGTGGTCGTGTGTGTGTGTGGGTGCAACAGACTGGAACATTGAGAAGCTTGGCCCGTTTCCTCCATATGTTGCTAGTTGAGTTCTTCAGAAAACAAGATACTGAATCTGAGATTTGCATTTGGAGGTCTACTGGGGAGTTCTCTCAGCAATGCCTGTGAGAGAGCTAGAGTACCAGCATGCGGCAGAAGAAGTTGAGTGGAGATACATGTAGTTTTGCAGCAAAGGCTTCAGCCAGTCTTGCAGGGAGCTCTGAAACTGGGATGGCCATTTAGAGATGTCCTCAATTGAGGTAAGGGGGCTGGGCCTCTGGACTTGAATCAAGTAGTCATTGGATGCAGGCTGTCTCCTGGGGATGAGGGCGTAACCTTGGGTGAAGCGTTTTCCTTTAGTCAAGTGTAATTCTCGGGGAGGGAGGATGCACCTGTGAACCTTCAGCTGCCGATACTCCTGAGAGCTGGTATAAGGAGTGTTTCAGAGCAGAAGAGTGACCCGGGTGGTGCAACCACAGCACCCACCATTCTAAACGACACTTGCTGAGTTCTGAGGCTGAGAGAGGCCGGGGAGTTAGAATGCAGACTTAAAAGACAGACAAAATCTCCCTTAATCTCATTGTGTTTAAGAGACAAAGTCCTGCCAGAAATAGAGGTTACAACCTTCAACAACACTTACTTTGTCTTTAAAAAAAATTATAGCCATTCTGGTGACTGTGAAGTGGTATTCCATTGTGGTTTTAATTTTCGTAAGACTAACCATGTCTCCCAGTCTATTGCTTGTACGCCCCCCCGCCCCCCGTTTATTTTTCCCCATTACCATTTTTATCCCTCCTATACCTCCTTCACCTTCACCCATCCCCTACCTCCCATAATCACCACAGTGTTGTCCATATCCATGAGTTCTCTCTTTCCCCCCCTGCTCAATCCCTCCACTCTCCCAGCATCCTCCCCCTCAGCTGTCAGCCTATTCTCTATCTAAAGTCTGTGCCTATTTTGGATGTTAGCTCAATTTGTTAATTAGATTCACTATATGAGTGAAATCATATGATATTTGTCTTTCTTTGACTTATTTCACTTCGAATAATGTTCGCCAGGTCCTTACATGCTGTCACAAAGGGTAAATTCTTCTTATTTATTTATTCATTTATTCATTTATTTACTGCTGAGTAGTGTTCTGTTGTGTATTCAGCTGTTTCATCCACTCATTTACTGAAGTACTCTTGGGCTGCTTCCAGATCTTGGCTAATGTAAATAGCACTGCAACGAACAAAGAAGTACATGTATTTTTTCATATTTGTATTTCACGTTTCTTCAGATAAATTTCCAGAAGTGGAATTGCTGAGTCATAAGGCAGTTCCATTTTTAACTTTTTTTTTTTTATTTTTTTATTTATTTTATTTTATTTTATTTTTTTTTAAATATATTTTATTGATTTTTTACAGAGAGGAAGGGAGAGAGAGATAGAGAGTTAGAAACATCGATGAGAGAGGAACATCGACCAGCTGCCTCCTGCACATCTCCTACTGGGGATGTGCCCGCAACCCAGGTACATGCCCTTGACCGGAATCGAACCTGGGACCTTTCAGTCCGCAGGCCGACGCTCTATCCACTGAGCCAAACCGGTTTCGGCGATTTTTAACTTTTTGAGGTATTTCCATTCTGCTTTCCACAGTGGCTGCACCAACCTGCATTCCAACCAACAGTACATGAGGGTTCCCTTTTCTCCACATCCTCACCAGCATTTGCTGTTTGCTGATTTATTGATGATTGCCATTCTGACAGGTGTGAGGTAATATCTCATTGTGGTTTTAATTTGCATCTCTCTGATGATTAGTGATGTTGAGCATCTTTTCATGTGTCTATTGGCCATCTGTATGCCCTCTTTGAAGAAGTGTCTATTCAGGTCCTTTGTTCACTTTTTAATTGGATTGTTTGTTTTTTGGTGTTGATTTTTATAAGTTCTTTCTAATGTTGGATATTAACCCCTCATCAGATTTATCAGAGAGTATGTTTTCCCATTAGTGGGTTATTTTTTCATTTTGTTGATGGTTTCCTTTGCTGTGTAATGACTTTTTAGTATGATTTAGTCCTATTGTTTATTTTTTCTTTTGTTGCCCTTACCTGAGGAGATATATCAGAAAAAAATATTGCTATGAGAAATGTCTGAGATTTTACTGCCTATGTTTTTCATGTGTTTTTTTGTGTGTGTGGTTTTGTGTCTAGCATTTAAGTATTTAATCCATTTTTAGTTTATCCTTGTGTGTGGTGTAAGAAGGTGGTGCAGTTTAATTTTTTTTGCATGTATCTGTCCAATTTTCTCAACTTATTTAGGGCTTTTGTTTGTTAGGAATTTTTTGATTACTGCTTCAATTTCACTAATTGCAGTCTGTCTATTTAGATCCTCTGATTCTTCTTGATTCAGTTTTGGAAGGTCGTATGTTTCTTGGAAGGTATCCATTTTGTCCAGATTGTCCAATTTACTGGCATATAGTTGTTTGTAATATATATATATATATTTTACAATCCTTTGTATTTCTTTGGTGTCAGTTTTATTTTTCCTCTTTCATTTTTGATTTTAATTATTTGGGTCCTCTCATTTTCTTAATGAGTCTGGTTAAAGGTTTGTCAATCTTGTTTATCCTTTCAAAGAATCAACTCTTGATTTCATTGATCTTTTGTATTTTTCTTTTTAGACTATTATTTCTGCTCTGATCTTTATGATTACTTTTCTTCTACTCACTTTGGGCTTTGTTGTTCTTTTTCAAGTTCATTGAAATATAAAGTTAGGTTGTTTATTTGAGCTTTTCCTTGTTTCTTGAGATAGGCCTGTAATGCTATGAATTTCCCTCTTAGGATTGCTTTCCCTGTGTTCCACAGATTTTGAGTTGTTGTATTCTCATTTTCATTTGTTTCAAGGTATCTTTTAATTTATTCCTTGATCTTCCTGTTACCCATTCATTGCTTAGTAACATGTTATGTAGTCTCCAAGTCTTTGTGTGTTTTTAAGTTTTTTTTTTCTTGTGATTGATTTCAAGTTTCATAGCATTATGGTCAGAGAAGATGCTTGATATGATTTCAATCTTTTTAAATTTATTGAGACTTGTTCTGTGTCCTAACATGTGGTTTATCCTAGAAAATG